TTGGTCCTTGCTGTTTGACAGTGAACCATCCAATTTCCAGCCCCTAAATTCCTTTCTGGTTGAGTGGCTCCCAGACATGCAAGTGCTGAGGGAATCTTGAAATTGGCCAGAGGTGCATTAAAGGAGTTGAACTTCCCTTTGGCAGTGCTCCCTTCTGGATGAGTTTTCACCACATTGACATACAGATAAAGGGCTGTATTCTTTGGTTTTGACAAATACATAAATCTCATATTAGATAACACAGAAGAAATTTATTCTAAAACAAAGTCAGGAAAGCTACTAGGAGGATCTTTCTAAAAGGAGGTACTATTAATCTGCTATAAAGTGTCTGCAACTCGAAATGCTCATTGAAATGAGAAATTATTAAAAGACAGTATAGATTCGTTTAGTATTTTTAGGTGCCCTTTATTGGGAGTGTAGTTCTAAAACATTATTCACATTGTTTTGATTACCCTTATATTATAACTAGATGACAGTTATTAAATGTTGTAGAATTGTTTTATTAAATAAAATAGTTGTGGAAAGGTATAAATTGATGAGTAAAATTTTCTCTTTCCTATACACTCATTTTTCATTCTTCAGATCAAACCAATGTTAACAATTTTGGTGTATTCTTTTATTTCTAAAAATATATGTAAATGTATATGGTAACCTACTATACACGTTCTTCTACCCTTTAATTTTCATGTTTAAAAAATACAATTAGTACATATTAATTTTAGGAAATTCTGGGTTTCATTGTGGAATTCTTTTAAGTAATTTATCCTAGAAGTCTTTATATCTCATTGCTTATTGTTTAATTTTTCCTGCTCTGTTATATGCTGTTATACAACAAATCAGTGATTGATTTAAGCACTTCTCTGTTATTGAACATTTAGTGATTTCCAGTCTTTCATTAGTAATGATAATGCCACAGTGAAGGTTCTCCTGCATTCATTATTAGTGCTCTTTGTTAGTACCACTCCCCGAGTGAATGACAGATGCCAGGTGTATACCCCCTGGACAAAAGTGAGTGTTCTGACCTGTCCTAGAGCCTGCCACTGGTGTGCCTCCTCCCGTTCTCACCATGCCTCTCACTCAGCTCTCCACCGTTCTGTGTTTGAGCACAGGCAATATGCTTTCACCAAGGTTCCTGTTGAAATGCCGTACTGACTTAAATATGTGAAAGTGTGTGTAGCAAGTCAGGGCAGTTCACCAAACCAGTGGCATCAGGGTCTCTTGCCCACTATCTGCTAAAATTTTTCCTGTCAAAGCTGATGATTTTTTGTAATTGTAATACTGAGAATTGAACCTAGAGATTTTTATATTGCCAAATAAGATGATCAGTCTGCTCTGCAGGTACTCTACCATGCAGCAACATTCAGAACTATTTATTATCCTCTCCCTAGTACCTTTTTCCTCCCTGTAATTTTAGGGTACAGTGGGGCTCACAGAGAAATGGAGAGGCTTAAGGCCTGAAGACACTAAATTTTCAAAATCAAAAAAATTTAATACCTATGGCTTCCGGGTCAGTGATGCTAGCAGATAGTGACTGAATTGAACAAATATGAACTCAAAATATAAAATAGTTCCTCAGCCTGGAATGTGTGGAGTCTCACATCCTTCAAGAACAGGGCTTAAATTCCACCATCCCAGATTATTCCTACTTCCCTTGCTTCTTACTGCCTTAGCAGTATATTTATGCCTCTGTTTATAACTTCACACTCTACCTTGCATTGGAGGTATTTAAGGAGATGTAGTAACTGTCAAAAGGCAGGGTCTTTGAGTTGGTCATTCTGTCTGCCTTTATCATTTCTTTCTGTGTAGTAGGTTCTCAATGTTTAGCTGATTTATTTATTGGCAGAAGAGTAGGAGAAAATAAAGCTTTGTTTCAAGTTTTATTCAAAATGGAGACAGTAGGTCTTGGCATCAGTGGAAAAATTAAAAATCTTTGAAAGTCCAAAACTTGACTATTTTCCTGTTAAAATTAATTCTGTACAAGTAGTCCATGAGAATACCACTGAATTAGAGAGGCCTCTTTCCCCTGTTATATCCAATTAGAATAACAAAGATTACTTTGCATCATCATGAAAAATATACAGGCCAGGCTCACATTGTCAGACTGAAATAATTTTTTTTACTCCAGTGACCATGAAAGCTGTGGCATCCAGGCAGTTAGAACTCTAGGCAAAGCAAGGTAGGAACATGTACAGCAACCTGCTAAATAAATAGTATCTTAATATCAAAATGTCAGGAGCCCTCCTGAAGAACAAGCTTGAAAGTATCGAGGCTTATGCTGATGCAATTAATTTATATATTAGTGCTTTATTTAAGCTTCATCCAATAAAAATAGGGTGCCTGTCTCTGTTGTGCTGCCAGAGTGTGCTTGGGAAAAGGCCTCCAGATCTTGCTGTTGTTTTGAAATCTTGTTTCTTACATTGAACATTTTATGCTGAGACTTTGCTTTTAGGTTGGATTTTTTTGAGATATAAATTAATTCCTGTAGAACTCACCCTTTTTACCATATAATACTAGGCATTTTGGCAAATGTATATACTTGTGTAACTATCATCATAACCAAAACATAGAATAAAACCATTGCCCCCAGTATCTCTCATGCCCTTTTGTAGCCATCTCTTCCTCCACCCCCAGACTTTGGCCTCTACTGACCTGTTATCTGACCCTATAGTTTTGCCTTTTTCAGTATGTCATAAAGATGGAATAATATGCAGTCTCTTGAGTCTGGCTTCTTTTACAAAGCATTTTGTATCTGAGATCTGTTCATGTTATTGTGTGCATCAGTAGTTAGTTCCTTTTAACGATGAGCAGTATTTATTTCACTGTGAGGATGTACAGTTTAGCCAGTTATCAGCTAAAGCACATTTGGATTGTTTCCAGATTTGGGCCATTATAAATAGACACTGTAAACATTCGTGTACCATTTTTTGTGCAAACATGTTTTTCATTTCTCATAATGTGTACCAAAGCATGACATTACTGCGTAGGATGACAGAGCTATGTTAAACTTTATAAGAAAGTGCTGAATCATTTCCCAAAGTAGCTGAACTATTTCAAATTTCTATAGTATTCATGAGGATTTAAAGATCTAGAATTAAAGTTACATCTATGATTACATTATTTTAGATCATTTCATTCAGATTACATGTTTCAGGTAGATTGAAAGTCAGTGAAAGGTTTTGATTGGGTTATTGTACCTCAGCTGCAGGTACTTTGTGAAAAAGAGAGAGAAGTGGAATAGGGCTATAGAGCCATCTCAATGAGTTAAGCTTTTTATTTATATATAGAACATTTTTCTCTTACCTGAAAATGATTAAAGTGAGAGTTGGCTGCTTGGCAAGACTGCCCTGACATATAGGGGAGATTAGAGCAGCTTTGCAAATAAGCTCAGAAAATCTACTGGGCCGCATAGCTATTTCCAGGCCATTCAGTGTTGTGGCATTGATGCCATCTGGTAATTTTGTGTATTGAGAACCTGAAGATGGGCACATCTCTACAGAGAGATATTACCAAGTTTTACTCACATCCTCAATTGCCCAATAACTGATTTCTTTTAGCTTCTCATATGAATGTTGCAAGACTTCTTATCATCTAGATTTCTAATGGTTGAAATGGGAGATTAAAGCCTTGGTTTTTACCGGGCCTCAGATCTTTGGCCCTAATACAGAAGGGACGTGTCCCTGTGCTGTCTGGCTATTGCCATAGTCAGCATCTTTTGTACTGTACAGAGAGATCGGTGCAAAGGCTAATAGGTTGAAGGTCTCACCTTCCTGTGGCCTTTTGTGGGTCATGGTGATCTGCCTTTGAATCTGATCAGATGACTGTCAAAAACAGGAAGAAAAAAAAAAGGATCAGTGACTTGTGGACCTTTGATGTCCCTTGACAACCTTCAGAGAGCTATAGTAACTATATCAGCACTTTCACCTGGAAACCCATATAGTAACCAGGAGCTGGTAAACTGCAGTGCTTACATAGAAATTAACTGAAGGATCCTTGTCAAGTGAGATGTTCAGCCAAAGGCACAGAACCTAACAGAATTTTTTGTATTTTGCTTTCAATTCCATTTTAATAAGATAGAAAGGAGATGGGAAAACAAATGGAAAATGATTATTTTCAGTCTGGTTTTGCTTCAGGGGCATGTCAATTTAGATACCTGCCTCCCAGCTGCAATATTATAAGCTGCCAGTCCCTGGGCTCTTCTCTTCAGAGGTGCCACAGGAGGGGTTAAGTACCCTTGGGGGTGCTTGTGTTGTGGGCTGATTTGACATTCTTCTTATCAAATGTCACTTTGGACAGAGTGATAAAGATTAAGAAGTATGATGTCCTGCGGTATTGAGATGAAGAAGTTTGTTTTGTTTCCAGCTACAGATTTGACTGCCGGTGAACTTTTTAGAGCTGAGCTGTCAGAATGTGAGAGGAAAGAGAAGCTAGGGGAAAACAATCACAGGTTTTGATTGTACCGAATACCCTGAGGCACCCAGCAGTTTTGTAACTGTTCACTCGGCATTAACCAAACTCACAGGGATGCCTTTCCCATTTATTGTCCAGTAAATTGTCTTCCCAGACAGCTAGTGTTTGTAGCCCAGGTGAATCCTTCAACTTGTATAGTCCATCTTCCATGTGACCTGAAGAAAACCCAGTTGATAGAACCTGTAGATCAATTGGAGAAAGACAAGTAAGTGGAAGTGTCTTTGGGCACTCTTGGTAGGCATAGGCAGAGTTCACAAAGCCAGACATCTTATCAGGCCAAAGAATGCATTTGCCAAGGAACAGAATGCAGTGATGATTATGGATGTAGGGAGGAAAAGTGCAGTAATGAGAAGCTCGCATGTAGGTAGGTTGATTCCATTTTTTAAAGGCAAGTTGACATGATGGCAGAGAATGCTGAGGATCAGAGTACATGTAATAGAAAGCTGTTAATAATTATCATGAATAGAATTATAACTGAAATATTCGTATTGATACCATCAGTGACACACCATTGCCTTCTCCATATCTGTTAGAACTTATGGTTTGCTAGCACAGAAGTGCTGAATACTACAGACTTCACACCTCAGCCTAAGGAAGAAAGCATGGAGCTGAATCTGAGCCCCAGCTTTGAAGTTATTGACTCGCTTTGCACCTCAGTTTACAGAGCACTGGTGAGTACACACTGATGGGTCCACAGTGTAAGGTAGAAGGATGTGACTGTTGATTAATTTTCCTCTTGCAAAAACCTACCTTTTTCTCATTGGGAGGGGTAAGGGCTTGAGCGGGAGAAATGAGATAAAATAAAATAAAATTTATTTTTAAAAAGCCTACTGCTTTCTGACAAAGATCAGTAATTTCTAAGTTGTTTCGTGGCTTGAGCCCTTAAATCTGCATTTGGGGTGATTCCCCTTTAGTCCCATCTATAGATACTTATCTTCTTCTTTCAAGCGTATTATTAGTGATGTCATTGGGAATTACCTACATTAAAAATCTTACTCATCCGGAGAGAATATTTCTGAAGATATTTCTTTTCTTTTCCCCTGTTAAGTTTTTGTGAAAAATAATAACTGCATTGGTTAAGAAATAAAATAGCACAGGAATGTTTGTAATGAAAAGGCATAGTCCCTTTTCAGGTATTAGATGTTCTCAGGCGATTACTGGCTTGATATAATAATGATGATGATAATAAACCTTTTTTGTTTGCTTGCCTATGTTACCTTTTTCTCTTCCCAAGTTGATAGTTATTTTGAGTATTCTACTGATAATCTTTGTACCTTGAAATAGTAATTTTAAGCCTTAGTTTCTTTTCCTGTCGGCTTAAGTAATACATCTTGACTCCCTAGCCTATTCGATGAAAATATTAATATTGCCTGTGGAAACAGTGTGAAAATATTGATACTCCCTCTTTAAACGTCTCATGTTTTCTGGATTGTCTCAGTTTCTTTGGGAGTCAGGTGTCATTATTTAATTACTTGGCTTTTCTCTTTGAAGCCTGTGTTTTGTTTTTAGATGTGAGTGGTGTTTGGTTATTCATCTATATTTAAGAAAGAGGCTAGGTCTTAATTTTCTTAATAGATGTTGTGGATTTCCCCTGCTGTTCTATATGTAGATCTGATTTCCTGTTATCACTGCCCATGAATAGGAAGTCTGTGTGGATCCTTGATGCCATATGTGGTGTGGGGGTGTGTCTCCTGGTAGTTTCACTTTAGGATCAACCAGGAGTGGGCTGGATTTCAGTCACAAGTTTATGTGGGTGTGTTGGGTCTAAATGTGGGGGAGGGGATGCTTTACTCTAGTGTTGGCATATGCTCCTAGTTCTTTCCAGTGTTTATTTAACTTTCTATTCTGATCTAATATTAGCTTTAGAGACAAGTTACAAAAAAGTACAGTTTCTGTATATCCCCTACCCAGTTTCCCCTAACCTTAATGTCTTATCTAGGACACAATTTCCAGGCAGTTTTTAAATTTCTTTACAGATAGAGTTCTCTTATATTTCCCCACAATTATAAAGGGAATAGGTGTTGAGCACAGTGCACAAACCTAAGGAAACTAAGGCAGGGTATTAGGGAGCAAGGGGCACCTACAGACCCAGGGAACCTCAGGCAGACCTCAAACCCCTTCTCTCTTTTTCAGACTAATTTCAAACCCCAGTCTCTATTACAGCTGCCCAGTGAGCATGGAGTTTGATGAGTTACATTCTTGCTGTATATCACTTAGTTTCTGAGAGAGGGAAAGAGGGAGAAAGGGAGAGAAGGAGAGAGAAAGATAGAGAGAGGCAGAAAGACAGAGATACAGAGAGAGACAGAGAGATATTTGTTTCCAGCTCTCCCTAGTTATGATGGAGCACACCAAAACCCTGAAAGATATGTGAGAAATTCTTGACTCCCAAATCTGCAGGGTAGGCTAGCAGGCTGGAAACTCAGGCAGGATTTTTGTTAAGTTTTACTGTTGTTATTATGGTAAAGAACATAGCATGAGATTTACCCTTAACAAATTTTTCAGTATCCTATATATTACTGCTGAATATAGAATATAGCATCATATGATAGATCTTCAGGGCATGTTAATCTTGTTTGACTAAAATGTTTTGCCTGTTGATTAGTAACTCTTCATTTTCTATGCTATAGTCTTGAGACAGAATTTCTTTGGGAATTCTCGGTGTTTGCCCTTATGTCTTTAGCTGTTTAGATGAGACCCACCCACATTATGGAGGAAAATCTGCTAGACTTAGCCTCACCTGATTGCAAATATTATCACATCCACTGATAATTTCCTAGTAATATCTACAGTAGTGTTTGACCCAATAACTGGGCACCATAGCCAAGCCAAGGCGATAAACCATCATGTACTTTATTTGCTGTTCTTGTCTTCCTCTAGAAATTAGTTGAGAGCCTGATTGTTGAGGATGCAAGTGCCCTTTCTAAACACAGGGCTAATCCTTTGGAGACTTAAAAGAAGACCTCCCAAAATTGGGCTCAATTTACTTTCTTTATTTATACTTGAGACAGCTTCATTAGTATTGATTTTTTATGAGTTTATTGGTACATTTTAGATATACAGTACAGTTATATTCATCATTGGGATCTTGTACCTTTACACAACAGGTGTTGGTTCTGATTTTTTCCCCTTGTCCCTGCCCTCCCTTCACCCCCTCCTCCCCTCCCCATTTGCAAACACTTTATTTCCATCTTTTCATTTTCTCACATTTTTTTCTTTTCCCTTATTACCTTTCCCCTACCCTTCCCACTTTCCCTACACCTTTAGCCCTTTTCGTCCCATTTCACAACATTAGTATTGATTTTTAAGTATCTACTGTATTGTAATTTTTCAAATTTTTCACATTCCCATTTTATTTGATGTGGCCTATCTAAATGGAACTCTTTATTTTCTACTACTTGTTTGGATCTAACTCTGTACAATTTCAAATGTTTTTAAAAATCTTCATACTATGAGTTTAATTTTTAGAATAAACAAAGATCTTTGAAGGACTTCCCTTCCCCACCCTGTAACAACTAGCACAATGCTTTGTCCAAATTAGGCACTAAAAACTTTTAAAAATATATTTAAGATTTTGAAAATTCTTCAGTTTTGTATACTAATGACAATTTAATATGATACGTTAGAGATCTTGAATGTTTTAATTTCTGATATTTTATTCACTGCTCACGTTTGACGGTGCCTGAGAGGTAGGCAGGTGGCAGGCATATTTAATGTCATTTTATAGGCATTTGGGGTCTGTCTGAAATGTTTGGTAATTTGCCTGAGGTCATATACTTTCATTTCAGGCCTACAACAGACTCCAGATCTTACTCCTAATTCTGTGCTCTTTGTTTTGCATATGTTACAGTATGCTGTACATATCCTTGGGGAACATTTGACAATGAACATATTTCTGTAAATACTGTTGCTATTAGATATCCTTGCGGTGGACTCACACAGGGCACTTTCTGCTAATGATTTAAAGCATATCTTTCTTTTTAAAGAAGTTAAGTTTCCTAGGAGAATCAATCTCTACCCCACTGTTTCCCTTGCACATCCATGGACCAAAACAAATCATGTATGAAAAATGCTCCAAAGGTCAGTTTCTCTCCAGCCAAAGTGTATAATATAAGAATCAAACACCACTGCATGTTTTCAAAACCAGAGCCTGCCTACCACTCCTGAGAAGTCATCCATTGCAACAACAATAATAAAATGTGCTCTAGTATCAATATAAAAACATATAATTAAACCAATCATATAATGCACTAATAGCACATGAAGCTGTGCTCCCTTCCTCCCTTATCTCCCAAAATAAATCATTTCAAAAATCAGGCTGTGGGAAGGGAAAGTGGGAGAGGTAGGGGAAAAGAAAGAAGGGAATGAAATTAATATGAGAAAAAGAAAAAATAGAAACAAAGTCTTTGTAGATAGGGAGGGGTGGAGGAGTTAAAAGGAGTGCAGGGAAATAGGGAAAAAATAAGAACCAAGATGGATTATGTAAAGGTGCAAATTACCAATGATGGATGTCATTATACTTTATACCTTAAATGTACCAATAAACTTAATTTTTAAAAATCAGGTTGTGGTTTAATTAAAGCAAATATCTAGTTGGAAAGTAATAATTCTCCATTAAAAAGAAGTTATTAAAAGGGATTATTTCAGTAGAAACACAGGCTAACTATATTTCAGTGTGTATTTTCTCTTTCTTTGTTTTAGAAATACTTTGTGTTTTAACTTAGTATGTGTTATAGTTTGTATCTGAACGTCCCCCCATCCTCATGCACTCATGAGGAAGGGGTGGGGGCTTTTCAGAGGTGGCTGGATCTAGGTTGTGTAGTGCTGGGATTAAGGGAGTGTGGTAACTACATTGGGAAGGCCCACTCTGGGTATGGGTGGCACCATTCTAAAGGGTTGTACTCTGCATTTGATAAAAGGGAAAGGGAGGCTTGCTGCTCACTGCTTTCTGCTTGCCACACCATGGACTGTTTCTACATTACAATGCCCCTCTAACATGCCACCCTGCCTTGGAACCAGACATTTATGGACTGAAACCTCTGCAAACTGTGAGCTGAAGTGAACTTCCTCCTTTAAGTCTGAGTGTTGGGTATTTTGTCTCAGCAACTAGAAAAGTAATTAAGACAGTATAACATGCATGTTTCAATAGCTAAGAGTATGCCCTAAAGCAAAATTTCATCTTCCAGGGCTGTCCACCATTGTATATCTTTGAATTAACTTGGGCTGGGGATGTAGCTCAGTGGCAAAGAGCCGGTCTGAATTAACTTTGTCTGACAGTGAATGGGGTGATTAGTTTTCTTTCCAAACATCCAGACACTCCCACTTTGGTTTTCCAATGTTTCATTTCTTTCTTTCTTTTTAAAAAATAGGTTCTGGGGATTGAATCCAGAGCCTTCACACTGAGCTACACACCCAGCCCTTTTTTATTTTTATTTTTTTTAATTTATTTTATTTTTGATATGGGGATCAAACTCTGGTCCTTGAGCAGCAGGCGGAATCACCATGGTCTTGCTTAGTCACTAAGCAGGATGGGCTTGCTCAAACTTTTGATCCTCCTGCCTCAGCCTCCCAGAGTGCTGGGATTTTAGGCATGCATTACTATGACTGGCCTAGTTTTTCAATTGTTCTGTAATCCTCTTTTTTGCTCAGGGCTGCCTCTGAGACCTTCCTACCG